CCCCCCCCCCCCCCCCCCCCCCCCCCCCCCCCCCCCCCAGTAACTGACAATGGCAGAGGCTACCAAGCCTTGCTGCCACATCCCCTCCCACCACACTGGAAACAGGCCAGCTCTGGGTGGTCCGGTCTGCCCTGCAGGTACTGGGGTGCCCCCATGGAGCCACTCCCTCTGGCACCAAGGCTAAGGTTAAGACTCCCAGCGGAGTAGACTGCTGCCTCCTGGCTGTGTACCTAAAGCTCCCTGAACCTGTTTCCTCCTCCATGAACAGTGGGATGAGTAACTATCTCAAGGGTCACCAGGAGGATTAAACGAGTCAATGTGTGCGGAGTGTTCAGCCCAGTGCCCGGCACATAACGAACACTCAGCAATTACAAGCAGCTAACAAGCATATCTGATGATCGCTATTGTCCAGCAGGTAGCTACCAAATAGTCCACGCGGGGCCCTGTACAGGCTGGAGATGAGAGAGTGAGATGGGTGACAACACTGAACACACAGGTGACAAGTGGGGGCAGGACAGACTGGTGGTCAGCCACACGGCAGGGTAGCATGAGGGCCTCCCTCCCTTTCCGGCGGCGTCACCTTGGCTCCCTGAACCTGCGTCCCCTTGTGGAAATGACAAGAATTACTACCACAGGTCTGGGGTGACGTGGGTACAGAGCACCCGCTGTGGCTCTAGGGGGGAACTTTTGCTACCAGCATCAGAGGGCACATGAGGAAAAGCTTTCTAGAGAAGGGGAGTGACGCCAACCTGCTGGACCAGCAGGGGTGAGCCAGGCAGAGGCTAGGGGGAGGAAGGCGTCAGTCCCCGGGAACTACCAAGGCTGAGGCAAGAGGGGAGAGCCTGGCAGTGTGGGACCCTGGGGACCAGTAAGGCTGCAGCACGTTAATAACAGTAACTCGTTAGTAACAACAGCTAAGTCGGGGCCACGCAAAACACTTCCTGGTGCCTATATGCTCTCCGCACCACCCGGTGAGGCAGGCACTATTGTCTCACCTCAGTACAACAGGGGTGGCCCTGAGGCTCAGGGGGGTTCAGTGACTCGTCTAAGGGCAGGGAGATCGTGAGGGGTGATGTCAGCATGCGAAGCCAGCCAGCCTGACTACAGCTAGCTGCCTGAGGAGGCTGGAGAGAAAGGTGGGGTCCAGCCGTGGAAGGTTTTGTGGATGGTGCCGGTTAACCGAGTCCTCTGTATCGAGGGTAGCCAGGGCCCCCCCAAACCCAGGGGCTTTAGCAGCACTATGCCCCCCGAGGCACTGCAAGTGGAAGGCCCTGAGGGAGGCCATCCTTTCCTGACCATACCAGATTTACTGTCCCTGGAGAAAAATTACAGCCCCCATTTCCTGAGACCTTACTGAGTGCTTGGGAAACGTGGCAACTGCTTCCTAGGAACCACTTCCTTTCACCTTCCCATCTCTCTGAGGGAAGTACTGCCGCTGCCCCATTTTACAGATGGACACTGGTGTTGGGGCCAGGAAAGCTTCTCCGAGGAAGTGGCCTGTCAGCCGACATCGAAGGACCATCGTCCTACAAAGGCCTTCAGGTGGAAGGAGCTCATCCACAGGAGGGGAAAAGGGCCCGTGGGGCTGAGGCGCAGGGAGGGAAGGGCACGGGGAGCTGAGGCTGGCGCCTCCACACCAGCACCTCACCAGACCCAAGGGCCGCAGGCAGAAGCTGGGGACACGTGCCAAGACCAGATGGAGCAGGATACTGCAAGACTTAAACCGAAGCCCAATCGCTTCTCCTGGCAGCCTGGTACTGCGAGGAGAAACGGGGCTTTAGAGTCCTGAACTCCAAGTTCAGACCTCACCCCGTGAGCCTCAGTTTCCCCACTCATGTCAGGAGAAAACCACCAATACCTTGGCATGTGACCGTATTACGTATAGTAACGGTTTGGTACTGTAAACCACGAAGGGCTTCCTGATGTGAAAAAAGAATCCGGGGAGGGGGGGAAGCTCAAGACACCAGCCAAGAGGGAGATGGACCCATACGGTTAGAAGACCAGTAATGACCATCTCCATTCATGCCTCAACACACACTGGGCACCACCACTTGGGAGATATTGCACAGGGCACTAGAGCACTGGAGTCCCCAACAGGCTGCCCCCGGACAGCGGGGTCAGAGAAACAACATCCCTGACAATTCACACAGACTGAGCTCGAGGTGCCCCCTGACTTCCAAGAGTAGAGACTCCAGTCACCCCACTTGCTATGCTCAGAGAAGTGAAATGACTTGGACAGGGTCCCACTTGCTTCTTGGGGTGGTGGCTGAGAAACCAACTCAGGACTCCCTGACAATTAAGTTGCCTCTCTCCTCTTTTCCCTGAGCACTAAAACACCGACAACTGCAGGGGGAAGGGAGGGAGAATCAGGCAGACACCTCCCGAGCAACAGGGTGTTCAGTCAAGAACATGGTGAAAGGAGAGGCAAGAAGGCAGAGATGGAAGTCAGGCAGCCCCAGCCTTTCTCCCAACCCAGCCTGCCCCACGACCCATCCATCCACTACAACACAGCCTTTCAACCTTCCCCCAAACCACTATCCCTGGGATCTGCCTTGATCCGCAAAGACTGCACCACCCAAGATGGCAGCCACCAGCCACGTGTGGCTATTTAGACTGATGAAAATTAAATGAAAACTTCAGTTCCTGAGCCATACTAACCACATTCTGAGTGCTCAGTAGCCATGTGTAGTCAGCAGCTACTGTACTGGACAGCACAGATCTAGAACACGGTCATCATTGCAAAATGTTCTAGCGGACAGCTCCGGGTCTACAATTTTCCTTAACTAAATGCTCCTACTCCTTCCCTCCACTCAAAAAAGGCTCCTTTTTATTCTTAGGAAGAAAAAAAAAGCAAGTGGGAGAAATAAAAGTGGGGGAGAACAAACAGGAACTCTAAAAGCGTCCGACTCTTGGTTTCCGCTCAGGTCACGATATCACGGTTTGTGGGTTCGAGCCCCACATCAGGCTCCACACTGACGGTATGGGAGCCTGTCTGGGGTTCTCTCTCTCCTTCTCTGCCCCTCCCCTGCTCCCACTCTCTCTCTCAAAATGAAAATAAACTTAAAAAAAAAAAAGTAGGTACTCTGAAAGAGCTGCTCCAAAAAAATCCCCCATCCTATTATACTGCCACAAAATAAAGAAGGGGAGTCAAGAGAGAAAGGTAGCAGGGAGACTGAACCTGGAAGAAGATTTAATCAGCCATAAATGACCTTTCCCTACTTTCTGCCCCAGTCCTCCCCACTGCCAGCCAATAGACTATTTGGACTGAGATCAGCCCTGCAGATCTGATTGCTCAGGAAAAAAAAAAAAAGCCACAAAGAATAGCCCAAAGGCAGGAGGCTGCCCCACCCCCAGCCTGCTCCAGCAGCCCTTTCAGAATTACCTGCTTCAAGTGACTCCATTTCCAGTCTATGTCCCCTCCCCTCACCCCTGGCCCATCCTCTTCACCCTCCTCCTACCTAAAGGGTCTTCCCACAGATTTTATCTTCCTTTCCTAAAGGATTAGGGATCAGGGGGTCAGACCCAACCCCACAAGATGTTGATAGATTTCCCTCCAAGGGCCCTCACCAATCCAGGTCCTGCCAAGGTCACCTCCTTTCTTCTCCTGGTCGCCAAGGTCAGTTTCTGTCCCTTCCCTCCACCCTCACTTTCCACAGTGACCAACATTGCTATTGCCCTTATCAAATACCAGGTCCAGGTCTTAGCACTTGACAGATTTGATTTTTACTACAACCCTATGAGGTGGTCACTGTTAGCATTTTAGAAAGGGGGAAATGCATCCCCTTGGAGAGATCCAGAGGAGCAGTCCTTTGCCCAAGACCACACAGCTGGAAAGCTGTGACTAGGAATATGAACTCACCTTCTGAAACATTACTCTCCTATCTGTGAAATTTTAGTTCATGGCTCTTCCGCAGCCCAATGCCTCTCTCCCTCTAAACGGGCTTCCAGCTAGATCTCTGCTGTGTGGACTTACTGTCAGCAGCATCAACCCAAAGGGATTCTAACCCTTTTGAAAAGAATTGAGGCATTTCTCAACTGCGACTCAGTTGGGCAAGGGGGTGCCCTGTCTGGACCTCTCTCCCTCCTCTTCTCCCTTAGTTAATCCGGCAAAATTGTATTGATCGCTTGGTCTCCTGTGTTGAGTGACAAAAACGGACAAGGTTCCTGTTCTGGCATTAGATCAAGGACACAGGATCAAAAGACTTTGTTACGCAATTCTTTCTAAAATCAGAACAGTAGTAAAGGAACAGGGAAATGAAGAGTACTATAAAAGCCCGCGCTGGGGGACCTGATCTCTTTCCTCCTTTTGGAAGGGGGAGGGGGGATCCTTACCGAGAAGAAAGTGTCTTCCTCGGGCAGTTTCACTCTAATGCCTGCGAAGAAACGTCTCGCCTTCCTCCCGTGCCCCTCCAAGCGGCCTCCGGTGGGGATGGGTGGCAACTAATGAGGAACCCACTCCCTCTCTCCAAGTTGTCTCCCTTCCTCGGGGCCCACAATGGAGCTGCCTCGCTTTTCCTCTCCTGAGGAAGTTGTTCCCGAGTGTCCTCTCCGAGTAGTTCCAGACCTTTTCCATTCTGTGACAGCCCTTCCTTCGCTCCCTGCACAGACCTGACACCCTAAAATCGGCGTTGACATCCCTACTCTCACTTGGGGAAAGCTCCCAGTGCCCCGGGAACTCACATATCTAGCCAGCCCCCGAGCACCAAGCCGCCGCAGGAGCAGGACGCCAGCCTGGCCCAAGCCTCGACCTGAGCCCCGGAGCTTCGCCGCAACAGCCGCCACCGCCATCTTCGCTAACAACTCCTCAGCGATCCGCCCCTCTCCCCTCCTAGACTGAGGCTGCCCCTTTATGAACCTGATTCAAATGTTAGCCCCATCCTCCCAAGAAGCCACAACCTACCAGTTCTTCGGCCTCTTGGACACGGGTATGAGTGGACAAAACAATCTAGCTTGCCAAAAGTACTCTTATAGCCTCATCTTAGTTTTTTCTGTAACAGGCAAAGAAGAGGGCAACCTGACCAGAGCCTCAGGCCTTTAGGGCCCGGGGGCCTCGGGTAGGATGAGCCCAGGCCAAGGCCCGCCCGCTCTTCTCTAATCTCCAATGGATTTCCAGGATTTGCGAGGCGGGAGTGGGAGGGGCCAGATTGTTAGTAAACGCGGAGACACGTGCGGGCGCGACTCCCGGCGCCCGGGATAGGCGCGTGCGCACTGGATACGCAGCCTGTACGCAAGCGCGCGCTTTTGCGCGGAAGTGAGCGTCCCAGTTGCACGTGGGATCTGGGGTGATGGAAGGGGTGATGCAGACTGACGCCAAGATGCGTACTGAGTCTGGAGCAGAGTCCAGTCCTCGAGGTCCAGGCTGCAGTCTCCGGCACTTTGCCTGTGAGCAGAACCTGTTGTCCCGGCCGGACGGCTCTGCCTCTTTCCTGCAAGGTAAGAACTTAACCTAGGTAAATACTGCCCCGGCCACGTTCGCTACGTTGTATTTGTTTTAGGAAGTTACAGGGTACCGTGCAAAGGAGTGCCACTTCTCCTGGACACCAGCTGGTGAATGTCCCTCCTGGACTGGTGCATTTCTTCTTACCCGGGTGGATACTACCGGATATGCTAGAATAATCTCTCTTTCCCGACTAGAAGGGAAATGACATCGCCACTCTGGTAAATACTCAGATGAGAGAGGAGCAGACTTCCTCGTAAGACCAAATATTCCAGAATAGAGAAAAGCTCCTCACCAAAGTAAATATCTCCCTTGACTAGATTCGTCTCCCACCTCCACCCCACACACCCTGGGTGCCTACATCCTAGGCTGAGGCAAACCTGCCCATATGTGTGAATACCTCTAAACTGGCAGATGACCACTACCGGTTTAATTACTCTCTGGACCGTGGCATGTCTTTTACCTGAGTACTTTTCAGACTGAGAGTGATGTCCCCTTTCCTCCCCACCACTGGGATAAATATTTCTTTGACTGGGACACGCATCTCTCTATAGGAGTAAATATCGCTTAAGTTTGGGGCAGGTCTTGCCTATTAGGTAAATGTCCCCTTCCCCTATCCAAATGCATCTCAAACTGGACTCCGCTCCCTTACCCAGGTAAATATTCCTCTGGAGATAGGCCTAAGGATCATCCCTGTAAATGCTTCAGTCTCCTCACTAGAAGCATTACTTTCTACCCAGGTACAAACCTGTTTTAATTCATTCCTTCATTGGACACATATGTATTTGTGCTAAGTACTGTTCTAGGCACTGGGAATATGTCGATAAAAAGTATTTTAAATCCCTGACCTAACAGTTTACTTTCTAGTCAGGGAGACAGACAAAAGGTTAGCTAAGGAAAATACTACGGAGAAAAATACAGAGAAGGGGAATAGGGTGTGCCAGCCAGGGGTGCAATCTTAAATAGGATGGTTAGGAAAGGCCTTGATGAGATGGTAACATCTGAATAAAGACCTAAAGGTAAGGGAGCACACCCCGAAGATATCAGGAGGAAAAGCATACCAAGTGTGGGGAACAGCAGGGGCAAAGACCCTGAGGCAAGGACTTGCCTGGTGTGTTTGAAGAGTAGTTAGGAGACAATGTGGCTGGAGCAGTGAGGAGGCTGGAGAGAGGTAAGGGGGACTGCCTGTCATTTGAGGCTTAGTGAAGGACCTGGGGGCCATTGCTCCCAAGTTTTGCTCAGAGGAGTGACATGATCTGAATGTATTTTAACAGAATCTCTCTGGCTGCAGTGTTGACTTTTGAAGTACAGGGGAGTGGGGGCGATGGTGGTGGCTCAGACCAGAGTGGGAGTGGAAGTGATGAGATTCTGTAAAGCTGACAAAATTTGCAGATGGTTCGGTGTTGGGGTATGAGAGAGAGAGGGATAACACTAAGGTTTTTTCCCAAAATCAGCTGTGCTGGGAGAAGACTGGTTCAGTTTGGGACATTAAGTTTGCAGTGCCCGGTAGACATCACAGGGACAATAGGGACTGGGCAGAAGGACATGCAAGTCTGGAATTCAGAAGAGAGACGCAATCTGGACATACAATTAGGAACCCTCTGGCTATAGATGGTATTTCAAGCTACTGATGGGATGAAATCAAGAAAATAAATGTAGGTGGAAAAGAGAGGTTACATGATTAAAACCTGTGTCTTCTAACTTGTGGGGAGCCAGGAAAAGACACTGAGAAAAGGGGCACCTGGGTGGCTCAGTCAGTTAAGCATCCAGCTTCGGCTCAGGTCATGATCTCATGGTCTGTGAGTTCGAACCCCACGCCGGGCTCTGTGTTGGGCTCTGTGCTGACAGCTCACAGCCTGGAGCCTGTTGGATTCTGTGTCTCTCTCTTTGCCCCTCCTCCACTCACACTCTCTCAAAAATGAATAAACATTAAAAATTTTAAAAAGACACTGAGAAGAGCAGCCAGGAAGGGAGGAGGAAAACCAAGAGAGAGCACTCACCTGGGGCCCAGAGAAGTGTTTGAGATGTAAGGGCGCACCAGCTGCATCCGTCCTCCCAGACCTATGGGGGGACAATCTGGACTTCTGTCACTGTCAAGAGCTGTTCGGATGGAGGGGTCAAGGAGGAGAAGAAAAAGAGAGCACAAGAAGCGACAGGTCTTTGGGAGCTTTGCTTGGAAGGGGATCAGATAAATGCCGGAGGAGTTGAAAACAGGTGTAGATCCAGAGAATTGCTGGAGCCATGTCCGTGACAAGGAGGGACTCCTAGGTTCGTGGAGGCCCCAGGCAGCAAGAATGAAGACCACGGTGTGGATCTCGTTCTATGTAGATAAGTTTCCCTTTGAGGACAGATTCTCCCGGAGCCTGAGGCCCAGAATCCACCGTGCACCTGCTAAGGCTGGCCCCTGTCCGTTTGCAGCAGCTGCGGAGATGCTTGTTTGCAGGCTGTTTGAAGCTATGCTCCAGCGCTGTTTCTTCCCCCTGCAGACCGCGGGCCCAGCTGCACCCTGGAATGACCCGCAGGGCTCTGAGGCTCCTGGTGCCTGCACTCCACCCCAGCTGTTGAATAGGATCTCTGGGGGAGAGGCCCGGGCGGCAGTATCTTTTCTAGGTCGCCGGTGATTCCAGTGTGCAGCCAGGGTTGAGAACCACGGCTGTGTTCATTAGTGGTCCTTTTTAACTGGGATAGAGTAGGGGCACCTGGCTGGCTCAGTCAGTGGAGCATGTGACCCTTGCTCTCAGGGTCTTGAGTTTGAGCTCTACGGTGGGGGGTAGGGGGTGTGTGGAGATTCCTTAAAACAAAATATTAAGGGGGCGCCTGGATGGCTCAGTCGTTTAAGCATCCGACTGTTGATTTTGGCCTAGGTAACGATCTCACGGTTCCTGAGATGGAGCCCTGTGTCCAGGCTCTGCAGTCACAGCACAGAACCTGTTTGGGATTCTCTCTCTCTCTCTCTCTCTCTCTCTCTCTCTCTCTCTCTCTCCCCCCTCAAAATTAATAAACATTTTTAAGAAATAAAATCTTATAAGTGTAAATAAAATTAACTGGAATAGAGTGGAAAACATCAGAGTGTAGCAAAGCAGTGACAGTAAGTTGTTTTGTGAGGCCTTTGTTCCGGTTACACATATGTTTGCGTGAGATTGGGGTCACGCTGTAAAATATATTTTTTATCAGGAGCTATGGTGAGAAGAGTTTGGAAGCCACTGGTGTAGTCTGGTCTCTTCATTTTGCAGATGGTAAAACTGAGACCCAGAGAAGTGAGCACAGTCAGCCAAGGTTGCAGGACTAGATGCCAGGCTTTTGTTTCTTGGGTCTTAACCTCCCTGGCCCCTGTTCTTACCCCCTCGGGATCACTCCCAGGTATATCTGTCCCTCTCTCGGGGGTCTTGACTTCTGCAGAGTTTGGGACGCGAGCCTGAGGGAAGAGAGCCAGGTTGGGGGGAAGCTCTGGAAGGAGTGAGAAGACCAGCTGCAGTAAGAAGGAGGAAGGTCAGCTCTCGGGAGGAACCTCCTAGTAAAGTTAACAACAGCGAACGTCCGTTGCGCTGCACGCTCCGTGTGTGCCAGGCAGTGTCGTGTGCGCCAGGCAGTCTCGGGAGTGTTCTACGTGGATTATGTCATTTAATCCTCAGAACTCAGGGAGGGAGGCGCCGTTAACCTGTCGGTTCACAGGTGAGGAAGCACAGGCAGAGGAGTGAGTGAAGCAAACGCTGGAAGAATCAGTGCCAGCACTTCGTGGGCTGGACTGGGGGGTGGCGTGGGGGACCCTGGCCAGCCGGCTCAGCACGGCGCACTGGGACCCCAGAGGAAGGCGGGATGTGGGCGAGGCCACCCGTGCTGTCTCCCCAGGGGATACATCGGTCCTGGCGGGCGTATACGGACCAGCCGAGGTGAAGGTCAGCAAAGAGATCTTCAACAAGGCCACCCTGGAGGTGATTCTGAGGCCGAAGATCGGGCTGCCTGGTAACTGGACCCAGGGGGATCTCCACCTTCTTCCTCACCACTGTCCCCAGGGTCCCCTCTGCCTCCACTTTAGTCTGTCTTTCCTGGCTCCATCTCCCCTTCTTTCTACTAACCTGTTTTCCCCCCATTCACTACCCCCACCCCCACCCCTGGGTCTGGGTTCAATGGGAGGGAACTCCGGGATTTTCATCCCCCAAGAAGCTCTGTTGCTGGATGCCAGAGGGGGCAGGGATGAAGTGGGTATGGGTCAGGCTCTGCCTCCTTCCCACTGGGGATCCTCTGTCATCCCTGCAGGGTCCTGCACCAACCCTAGCGGAGCCGGCAGGCCCTTCCCAGAGGGCTTGGGTGGGGCATGTGGAGGAAGGTGAGCCAGATGGAAGGGAAGAGCCTGACCACCCCACCCCACCCCACCCCTGATTTCCCCAGGCGTCGCTGAGAAGAGTCGGGAGCGGCTGATCAGGAACACTTGTGAAGCAGTGGTATTGGGAGCGCTGCACCCCCGTACCTCCATTACTGTGGTGCTGCAGGTCGTCAGTGATGCTGGCTCTGTATCCTTCCCCCCAGGCTGCCTCCTCCAGGAAGTCCTTCAGAATCTCTCCCATTGCCTCCCTTGCTGATGCCCACAAGCAAGCCCTGTGTTGACCAGAAGGCCTCCCAATGCTTAACAGGCACCCACTTGAAGAAGAATAGCAAACACAGCTTGAGTGCTTACCATGTCTCAGGCACTGTTCTGAGTGCCTTACACATATTAACTCGCTAACTATTCTCAGCACAGGAAATAGGTGCCACTATAATCCCCATGTTCCAAATGGGGAAACTAAGGCATGGCAAGGTTAGCTTTTATCTAGTATTTTGCAGAGCCAGGATTTGAGCCCAAGTCATCTGCTCCTAGAGCCCAGGGGCCCTGGTAGATGGCTGTTGTTTTTTTTTTTTTTTTAATGTTTATTTTTGAGAAACAGTGCTAGCAGGAGAGGGGCAGAGAGAGAGGGAGACACAGAATCCGAAGCAGACTCCAGGCTCTGAGCTGTCAGCACAGAGCCCAACACGGGGCTCAAACTCAAGAACTGTGAGATCGTGACCTGAGCTGAAGTCAGTAGCGTAACCAACGGAGCCACCCAGGCGCTCCAGCAGATGGGTATTCTTATGTTCCCATGTTTCATGTGACGAAACAGGCCCAGAGAGGGGAAGTGACTTGCCCAGGGTCACACAGCTGGAAGGCAGCAGAGGCAGGACTCAAGCTGAGGCCCGACTACCTACAAAGCCTGTGCCATTGACCTCCACCCTGACCTTGAGCAGTGCTAGGGGAGTCCTGAGCAGGCAGAGCAGTTGGGTCAGCAGCTCAGCCTAGAAGGATCCCTGGGGTTGGGGCTGAGGACCAGAGATGGGCAACTGGGGGGGAGAGGGGGGGGCAGGCCCTGTCTCACGGAAGGAAAACTGAAGCCCAGAGGGGAGATAATGGAGGGGCAGATCTGGGGCTAACTGATCCTAAAGCTGGACCCTTCCCCACTATGTGGGGCTGGAGACAGAGACTAGAGGAAACTTGAGGCAGGGCTGGTCGTCTGGCTCCAGGCCCGGGCATGCCTCCCTTCTCCCTCTGTCACCTTGCCAGTCTGTCACCTGGTGGTGGCTGCCTCCAGATCCCAGGCTCTGGGCCTGACCCTGCCACTCCCCATGTGACTGTGGAAGGTTTCTCCCCTCCTTGTCCTCAGTTTCCCTGAAGGCACTTGGCACGTGCTTCAGTACAACTCTGTTGAGTATCATTCTGACCCCTGACTGAGGCTGAGAGAGTAAGTCACTTGTTCAAGGTCACATAGCTGAGAGGTGGCAAAGACCGGTCTGGAGCCCAGGGCTGCCTGATCCCAAAACCACTTAGAACCACTGTGCCATACTGCCTTCCTGTGATGAGCCTGTGCAGTTGGCCACAAGCCCTGGCAGGGTAGGTGGAACACAGGCACACTCTGCTGGCCGGCCCTACAGTGGAAATGCTTCTTAACCTCTGCCCGTGGCACCCAGCTCCTGGCCTGTTGCCTGAACGCTGCCTGCATGGCATTGGTGGATGCAGGTGTGCCCATGCGGGCCCTCTTCTGTGGGGTCACCTGTGCTCTGGACTCTGAGGGGACCCTCGTGCTGGACCCCACGGCCAAGCAGGAAAAGGTAGGTGTGAAGGCCAGGGTGGTGAAAGGCTGTGAGCAGATACTCCTCTAGGCCCGCTTCCCCCACACGCTTGGCTCCTAGCACGTCAGTCCCAGTTGGCAAGCTCTGGTCTGTGCATCGGGGCAAGTGCTAGAATGCCATCCGGGACCCATATCTACCTTCAGTGCCAAACTACAAACATAGGTCCAGCTAGAGCCAGGGTCTCAGACACCCTAAGGATTTCCTTGATTTTGCTTCTCAGTCCCTGCTGTCCTATGCGTGTTGGTTTCATTCTCTGGCAAGCATCTTGCCTGAGGCTGTGACCAGCCCCTAAAGGTCTGTGCTTTTCTTCACTGGCTCAGATTCACAGTGCCCAGGGCTCTGGATATTCCGAGTTACTTGCCCAGTACTATGATGGTCGCATTGTGTCAGGAAAGCAGAAGCCACTTGGGGTTGTATCAGGGAATGTACTGCTGGAAGCTGGTTAGGACGATGTTGGAAGAGCCAAGGGAGCAAACAGGAAGGAGGGCGATACCCAGGGACTAAAAGCCTGTAGGGAGACACCGTCACAGTTGGTTTTGGGTGCACACAAGGCATCCTGGCTTTGCCCTGGCAGCCGATGTCCCCAGAGCCTCCACAGCTACTGTGGGCACTGCCATAGCCACCGCATCCACTTCTATCGGAGCGAGGACAGGATGTGGCTCTCCCTCCTTCGGCCTCCCCCGAGACTACCAGGGACACCTGACGGGCAGGGGAGTCTGGGAAATAGTGTGTTGGCTTCCAGCCCTCGTGGCACAGAGCTGGAGAGGGAGGCAGGGGGCCAGGAGGTACTGGGTAATGACTGGGGGGCATGTGGCTGCCCCTACAGACAGGAGTACTGTGCTTGGAGGCCCCTGTTGGAACCATGTGGGTAGAATCGGGGTGTGGGAAGCGATTCTACAGAAGGAAAGGCCAAAAGCCCTGCCCAGGGAAGCGGGGACGGTGCCTAGACAAGACACCTACACTTGATACACGTGGGGAGTGGTGGCTGTTGGGAAGGGCAGGTGCCCTATTTGGCACCAACTGAGACTGTGCCTGGGGGGAGAGTCCAGGTGTCCTACCCCTCGTCTCTAGGAGGCCCGGGCCATCCTGACCTTTGCCCTTGACAGTGTGGAACGGAAGCTGCTGATGTCCACCACCAAGGGGCTCTACTCGGATGCTGAGGTACCAGGGTGGAGATGGGGTGAAGGCCAGATCCTTCCTTGCATCCCCTTTGTTACGTAGAAGGAATTGTCAAACCTTGTAGGCCCAGAACCCCTTGTGGGAATTTTGAAGGAAGCTCCAGTAATGAGTGGAAAAGAGAAAAGAGCCCTGGTTGAGATGGGGAGGTGAGGCATTGAAAGCCCTTCACCTTCCTGCTCAGACCGTACACACCCAGAGTTCCAGGGCTCTGGTCTCTGAGAGCACAGCCAACCTGGACCTCCCATGAACCGAGGAACATGTGGTCAAGATTTGCGGTCCCAGATTCCACAGCTTTCTACACGATTTGGTGTCACAGGGCCTGTGGCTCAGAAATTCTCGAGCTCCAGGCTGAGGCCTCTTCCAGCAATCAGGATGCCTGATCCTGTGGTCCACAGTCCTGGAGCTGCACTAATCTGCCCCCTGAAGCCCACACCTTCTCTTTTCCTCTCTTCCTCTCTGAGAGAGAGCCTGTGAAGTGGGGAAGAGAGGCCCTTGAAATCCTTCCCTCACCACCTGCCTCACCGCGGGGGAGGCAAGAGGTCTGGGATCTCTGGGAACCAGATGGGGTCAGGGCCGGGAGCAGGGTGGCCCCAGCACCAACAGGTCTCTCCACCTCCAGCTCCAGCAGTGCCTGGCCGCGGCCCAGGCTGCCTCGCAACACGTCTTCCGCTTCTACCGGGAATCACTGCAGAGACGTTACTCCAAGAGCTGAGGCAAGCCGGGGCAGGGCGCCCCTCCCACCGCCACCCACTACCTCCATGGAAAATAAACCAGCAGCCTGGCCTCACCTCTCCATCCCTGTGTGCCCGGATGAGCTTGCGGGCCTGGGGGCACAGACCCACCCTCCCCTCCCCCGGAAGGCATTTCCAAACTCAAAACCCATCCCATCCCGCCAGCCTGACAGATACCTGTCGGGTACCCACTCTGGGTACCCGCTCTGTGCAGACCCTGCTAGGTACTGGAGACTCAGCAGTGAATGACCCCCAGGTTCAAGGAGCACTGGGGTGATAGGCAAAGAAAATCAGTGTCTGTCAGATGGTGGTAAATGCTGTGTAAAAAGCAGGGAAGAGGGATTGGGAGAGGCCACATTTAATACATCAGTCAGGGACGTCTTGATGGAGTATGGGAGACTTCCGACGGAAGCCCAGGAGGAGGCCTGTGGAAGAGGGAGGATCAGGTTCAGGGTGGCGCTGGTGTGCTGGAGCAGGGCAAGTAGGGACCGGGGAGGGAGGGAACATGCACAGTGGGAGGGCCTCGTGGGTCTTGGCATCCTTGCCTTACGAGAAGAAACCAGCTCAGAAGCCAGTTAGCTGCCAGATGTCACCAGCTAGCTAATGATGGAGCAGGGGGCTTCTACTCAGAGTCCAGCCCCAGAGCCCTTCACCATTCAGACAAGCCCAGGAGACCCCAGCACGCTCCAGGCCGCAGTTCCCCATCTGTAAGCAGAAGCGGCTGAGGCCCGTCGGTCAGCTGTATGGAAATACGGGGAAGGGAGGTTTTAGCAGCCATTTGACTGCTGTGTCCCCCACCCCCATATTTAGTGGGTGGGAGCCAAGAACATGAGCGCATCCCACAAGGAGTAACTCTCCCACAGCTGGGCCACATGGTCGCCAGATTCTATGGGGTGCTGACATTTGGGGGTTTACAGTGAAAATTATATGTCTGGCGGGCCCTCAGCCACATGCTTCACATGCTTGAACTAGCTCACCCCGTTCCCACAATTGCCCCGTGGAGCTGGTGTCATTTTCGTCCCCAGTAACCGAGAAGGGGAAGCCTCAAAGTCTTGATTGAGCTTGAAATTCTGCCCTGTGAGACTCCGGAGAACGCCAAATGGGAAAGTGTTCTAGGAAGATCCAGAATGGCATTAAACAGGCGTGAGAAAACTAAGCTGTAAATTGCCTGTCATGCTATTACTTGGTGATCTATCAGACCCTGCTAGGGAGCACTTTGTGCCCCCAGCAGCGCCTGTTCAGTGGGGGCCAGGGGGCCAGTGCCTCAAGGCTGTAAGCTCTCTGGGTCTCTGGCTGTGTGATTCCCATGGGGCTGCCTCTCACCCAGGGCCACCCTGTGAGGGATCCCCAGGGAGGAGGACCTCTGGGGTACCTGAGTTCCTGGGACCACACTTCTCCAGAAGCCTGCACAGAATGAAGCCAACAGAAAAGGAGGGCCAGGAGGCTGAGAGACCAGAGCCTTCACTTCATTTGGGCCCCTGAGTCCAGTTCTGCTTCAGCTTCCTTGCCTTTTGATGCTTAAAGCAGTCTGAGCTGAGTTTCAGCCGCTTGCTGTGCAAAGAGCTGAGGGATACCGCCCTTTTCGTGGATGGCCCATTCATAGCTCCCAGGTGCGGAGAAAGCCCCATTTTGCAGACGGGAAGATGTGAGGCTCAGAGCGGTCACATGGGTCAAGGTTACACAGCTGAGGAGTAAGCACTTGGAGCCCCGCTCTCTAATGCTCTGCCGACCACCGCGCTGTGAAGAGAACACTCTGCCCCTCGGGTTTCCCCTTCTCCAGCTCCGAGTTGTCGCGGAGCACCCTGGGGACAGCCTGCCCCTTCCTGGTCTCCGCACCCCCGCACACATACACACACAGACACAGGTTTGGCTGCGAGAGTGTCTGGAGTTTAATCTCGTTGGCGGCGGCCAGGAAGGAGGCGGTGGCCGCTGCTGCCGCCGCCTCATCCACCCGGATTCTCCACGTTGCCCGCCGACGCGCCCGGTGCCGGCCCCTGATTCACAGTGAGGGCCGCGCGGGCAACTAGGGCGGCTCTCGGGAGGCCAGGTAGGCGGCCAGGGTCACCAGGGCGGCCGCATATGTGCACACGCCCAGCCCGACGGCGAGGACCCCCAGCAGGAAGGCGCGGCGGGAGGCAGCCCCTGCCCCCTGGACGTCCCCCTTGGCCCAAGCCTTGTTGGTCTGTGGAGGCGTTGGGCAGCGGTGACTCAGGCATCCCCTCATCCCACCCTGCTTCCCGCAGCCCCAGACCCTTCCCCAAGCCCTTCCCACGCCGGTACACCCACGCACTCATTCATAGATTCCAAAACCAGGGAGCCGCTACTGTGGTCGGGCACAGGGGAGACTGGCTGGGTAATAAAAATATACATCTATTACTCTATGCCACTGTTCTAACTCGTTGGGACCTCATGGTGAACCAGAGGGAAGAATTATTCCCATTTTACAGATGAGGCACAGGGAGGTTAAGTGGCTTGTCCAAAAGTCTTAAGAGTGTGTCAGACCTAGGATTTGAGCTCAGGTTCTGAACCACCACTCTGGGCTTTCACTCTGAAACACTCATTTAACCCTTCAATGTTCCTACATAGATCCTTCTCTCCACCTTGGTTTCCCCCCACATATAGCACCTCTGCTTTGTTTTGAATGCACTTTTCTCTTACATCCAGCCCCCTCCCAGCCACACCCACAGACTGACCTTCTGGGCCAGGCAGAAGGCAGCGATGCCCACAGGCCAGAAACAGCAGAGCATGGAGAAGACGGCCAAGCCAAGGTGGTCGTGGGGTAGGAGCGGGGAGAGAAGGCTGCTCCCATCCCAGTCCGAGTCGCTGTCACTGGATGATGCATCCTATGGGTAGGAGAGGGCCTGGGTGGGCATCTCCACCTATCTTCCCTGCCCCACTGCTCTGCTCCCCACAGCCCCCAAAGACCAATACCAGGGCCTCCCCAGAAACAGCAAGAGAGGAAAATGTTCCAGGAGATAGGCTCTGAACTTTTCTACATCCTGGATCCCTTTGAGGGGAAGCTGTGTACCCTGTTTCCAAAGAGCTCCATTCACACCCAAAGTTTTATGTTCCATTTCAAAGACCACGGGGCCACTCACAGCCCCTGAAGTGGAGATAGATTGGGGGGTGGGGGCGCCTGGATGGCTCAGTCAGTTGAGCAAGCATCTGACTCCTGATTTCAGCTCAGGTCATTATCTCGAGGTTCATGAGTTGGAACCCCACATCGGGCTCTGCGCTGATGGTGCAGAGCCTGCTCTGGATTCTCTCTCTCCCCCACTCTGCCCCTCCCATGTGTGCACTCTCTCTCTCTCTCTCTCTCAAAATAAATGAATAAACTTTAAAAAGAGAGAGAGACAGCTCTAGTAACCTAAATTACTAGGACAAATCTGCCTGCTGAAAACTAGAAATTCTATATTTTAAAAAATATTTTTGTTTTTTTTTTTTTTTGTTTCTAAATCTTGCATCAAACAGCTCACACGATTTTAAGTAATTCCTATAAGGCCAAAACCGAAATTAAAATCAGTTAGCAGAGAGGTCAAATGAACTGAGGCCTCTTTTGCGCTGTGGGCATTTGCCAATCCCAGAAAAATAGCCTTTCAATCAAACTGTGAACTAGATTAAAAATGATCTCTAGGGGCGCCTGGGTGGCGCAGTCGGTTAAGCGTCCGACTTCAGCCAGGTCACGATCTCGCGCTCCGTGAGTTCGAGCCCCGCGTCGGGCTCTGGGCTGATGGCTCAGAGCCTGGAGCCTGTTTCCGATTCTGTGTCTCCCTCTCTCTCTGCCCCTCCCCCGTTCATGCTCTGTCTCTCTCTGTCCCCAAAATAAATAAACGTTGGAAAAAAAAAAAAAAAAAAAGATCTCTAACTGGTAATGACCCCAGGTGGCTGACAGAAGCAAACTATATCTTCTCAATGGTATGTACCTTCAGCCTGGGCCACAAAATAATAGTCCTAAAAATAGTGTTTCAGGGGCACCTGGCTGGCTCAGTCAGTAGAGCACGTGACCCTTAATCTCAGGGGCATGAGTTCAAGCCCCACGTTGGGCATGGAGCCTCATTAAAATTTAAAAGATAAATAAAAATAAAAATAATTTTTCAAACATGATGACCAGCATACATTCCAAACATAACCAGGCACATATGAAACCATAAATGAGAAGTAGCAGAAACAGTAAGGCCTTCAAGGGATGCCTGGTGGCTCAGTTGGTTAAGCCACCGACTTCAGCTCAGGTCGCAATCTTGCAGTTTGTGGGTTCGAGCCCCGTGTTGGGCTCTGTGCTGACAGCTCAGAGCCTGGAGCCTGCTTCAGGTTCTGGGTCTCCCTCTCTCCATCCGTCCCCCACTTGTGCTTGGTCTCTCTCAAAAATAAATAAACTTAAAAAATAACAATACTAATAATAATAATAAGGCCCTCAAACTTTTCAAAGAATGGAATTATCAGACACATACAATGTCAGAGTGATGCTAACTGCCACAATGTGGTTGGCCGTGTTTCCAAAAATGGCCACAGCCATCTCTCTCATCCCACATGCCCTTCTTATAGCGTGACTGATACTCTTCCCACCAAGGGGTGAGGTCTGTGTCCCCTTTCCTTGAGTCTGGGCAGGCTGTGACTCACTCATAATTGGTAGAATGTGGTGAAAGTGATGCCACATGACTTCCGAGCATAGGTCAGAAAAGGTGAGGCAGCCTCTGCCTTACCAGAGCCCTCATTCTGAGGCTGAAGGCCCATAAGGACGCGAAGTATGCTGAAGCTGCCATGTTGTGAGGAGGCCCAAACCAGCCTGCAAGGGGAGAGTCATTTATAAGCCCCAAGGTTAAGAGAGAGATACCCACCCAGCTCCCGGCTGCTTCAGCCATGGACTGTTTCAGCCCTAGCCGCCGGCTGACCGCAACCTCATGAAAGACCCTGAGGCAGAACCACCCAACCAAGTCCTTCCCAAATTGACCCATGGAAACCATGAGCCATAATGAGTGTTGCCGTTTTAAGCAACTAAGTTTTGAGGTGATTTCTTTTTTTTTTTTTTTTTTTAACGTTTATTTATTTTTGAGAGAGAGAGACAGAGCATGAGCAGGGGGCAGGGGCAGAGAGAGAGAGAATCTGAAGCAGGCTCCAGGCTCTGAGCCATTAGCACAGAGCCCGACGCAGGACTCAAACCCATGAACTTTGAGACCGTGACCTGAGCCAAAGTCGGATGCTCACCCAAATGAGCCGCCCAGATGCCCCTGAGGTGATTTCTTATACAGGAATAGTAACTGGAAAACCATGTGTAACAAATAAAAGACAAGCAGGGCGCCTGGCTGGCTCAGGCAGAAGAGCATGTGACTCTTGATCTCGGGGCAGTGAGTTTGAGCCCCACATTGGGTGAAGAGATTACTTAAAAATAAAATCTTGAAAAAAATATAAAAGACAAGCTTCACAGTAGATACAAGGAATAAGAAATTATACAAATTAACACATTAATTTGAAAAGAAGAGACCGGGGCCGGCACGGAAAGAGAGAGAAAATCAGAGAATAGGGGAGTCAGAAATCAGAGGGAAGACAGAGAACCAAAGACAAGGGAAGAAAGATGAGTGACAAATCTGGAGAGAAAAAGGTGAAGAAACCAGAACAGCAAAAACCATGACTAGGAACGTAGGAAGTCCACACGCAGTGGGAAGTGAGACCCCCCCAGGCTGAAGGTAGGTACCCCAGCCAGCCAGGTGTTGGCCACAGCTGAGTTCGCCTCCCTCTCCCCCAGCTCCCACTAAGACCTGCTGCTCCTACCTCAAGGTCAGGGGGCCCTGGCTCCCCAAGGCCAGCGCTCACAGTGGGAAGAGGTGGTGGGAGGAGCTGCCAACCCCTCAGGGACTCTGCAAAGGCTGTCTCTCCAAAGGGAGGCCCCAGCTGGGGCTCACCAGGCTTCTGGATGGGGGGCCCACAGCCCACACCTGCCAGCAGAGGCTGTTGGAGCTCTCGAAGACTGGGGCTGTCCATGACTGGGGAGAGGCTCTGGGAAGGGTTTTCTGGAGGTAGAGGAAAGAAAAAAAAAAAAAAGAAAAACAGTTATAACAAAGTCTCACCATCTTTCCCCTGACTCCTGACTCTGGAGAGATTCCTGGCAGAGACGATAGTTAGCTCATTGACCATCAGACCCATTTTACACATAGTAAAACTGAGGCCCCAAGACTAAAAGACGCTGGGCCAAGTTGTGAAGACAACTCAGGGGTCTGGACATTCAGTTCTGGGATTCTGTCTCCTCAGGCAAAAGCCACATACCTGTTGCACACTTATTCCAAACCGTGTCTTACACACTTACTTGCCCCATGAACTACACATCCCCTGCACCTGCAAGTCTGCACACTGAATACCCCAAACCCTTGCCACACATATTCATCCACTCCAGCCCAACCCCCACCTCCACCTGCTGGCATTCATCTCCCCGATGGCTCCTTGTATACTTGCTCTGAACAACATCAGCTCCCATTAAACACTCCTCTGGAGCCCCCAACCTGCTTACACACTCATCCCAAATGATTCCTCGCACACCCTTAGTCGCCCTAGCATCAGATCCCCCATTTGCACACGTACGCACAGGCTTCCCACTCATGCATCCCAGACACTCTCCATTGTTCCCATCACTCACTTCCCTTGCACACCTGCCCCAAACACCCGGTCCAAGCACCCCTCCCCTACTCCAACCACATCCACGGCCCTACACAATTGCCTGCACACTCATCAGCTCCCCCACACCTCCTGTTTTACCAGAATCCACCTTTGCACAACTCCCCCATAATAGCCCCAACCCACCGCCCTCATACACATTCAACCTCAAGGAATAATGCCACCCCACCATCCCCCCTGAGGGCCCAAGCCTCCCGCCCTCACCAAACCTGGCTGGAGCCGATTTCCTCACCAACGTTTGCCTCCCCATCCCCAACACTAGGACCCAGGGGAGGAGCAGTGCCGCCCACCTGTGCCCCTCACTCACCGCCCACGGCCATATGTTGGGACCTCCTGGGCCCCTGCACCGACACCCGCCCGGACACTGCGGCCCGCAAGTGACTGAACTCAGCGAGCCCCGCGCTCCCTGGGATCTGGGCCTGGGGGGTGCGGGTTCTGCGCGTTCCTCTGGGCTCCCCCTCGGAGCCCCTGGCCCGCAGCGCGCGGGGGCGGGGATGGGGGCGGGGCGGCGGGCGGGCTCCGGGCTCCGCCCTCCGCCGCGGCCCGGGAGGGGGCCTTGAAGGCCGACGTCAGCGCCCAGCACGGAAACCCTGCCACCCGGGGTGTGTGGGAGCAAGCGGGGGGCTCCAAGGACGGTGGGCCCCGACCCCCCCTCGCCCAGGCTCAAGAGCTGCGGGGTGGAGGAGGGGGCGCCCCCGATTCTCCAGGGCCTTTCTGGCTCGGCCCGCCTCCACCCGCCCCGCCACTCTCCTTGCCCAATAATAATAACAGCAACAGCGGCTAACTGTGTGCACTGCTCTCAGTGCTGTGCATGGACGCATAGACATTTATTCCTCGCAAGGACTGAAGAGACACTGTCATTTACTGTCCTGTTGTACGCAGGAGGAAACAGGCGCAGAGAGGTTGGGTTCTTGACTGCGAGCCTGACGCTAGTTCACGGAGTGCGGTCTAAGCCCGGACCCCTGGCCGGTGGGTTAGGGGATTTACAATCACGGTGGCTTTGACTCCTCTCGGCAGCTCTATTTCTATCTAAAGTTTTACAGATAAAGAGACTGAGGGTCAGAGGTGTGCGCTCACTTGGCCGAGGTAAACAGCTGGAGCCAGGACCGGCAGTTTGTACCCCAGGGCTGTGTTCCTTGCTGGCCCAAGGGGAGGGGAGGAAATAGGGCAAAAGGGTACGGTGGGAGCTTCCACGCAAAGGAGGCCGAGGTGGGAGAGGGCCGGGAATGGGGTGATGTGCTGGTTATCAGGTGGCTCAAGTGGTGGTTACGAGACCGTGTTTAGACCCACACAGACCCGAGTTACTTTGCAGGCTCTTCAGGGCACCTGCTCTGTGTCCTCGGTACAATGGCATCACCTCTCGCAACCCTCAAGTTTTCATCTGTGAAATGGGCTAAACACTCCTTGCCTTTTAGACGTGATAACATCCGTAAAGCACTTAGATCAGGCGCGATACCCAGCGTCCACCATTTACCCAAAGCCTGGCAATATAGGCACTCTGAGTGTGTTTGATGATGTTTAGGAGTATTATCATCAACTTCCGGCTCCCATCAATCTCGGTAAGGGACACTCCTCACCCCGGAGGACTCTCTCCCTCATGGAGTCCACCCAGCTTGCACTGGCTTCCTCTGCCCAGAAGCCTTCCTTATCACTAGGCCCAGTCAAACTGGACGATTCCCCTCTCGATGCGGGGCTAGCCAGAGTTCCCTGGCTCCAGGGCTCCAGGGCTCCGTGCCAAGAGTCCAGACGCTGGAGTTGGCACGGGCCCCACTCCCAGGGAGAGCAGATGGTGTCTGCAAGTGCAACTTGGCGCAGGCAGAGTTTCTGGCAGACGACAGGCAGGGGAGGGAAGAGAGGGACCTGCAGCAGGACTGTGTTATCTGGGAGAGATAACCTGCTACTATCTCCTTAACCCGGCTCTGGTTGTTTCTTTCATGCAGCTAATCACTATGAAACATATGATGTCTTTCTATCCTTTGTAGTTTGACTCCTCCCACATCGGTATCCACTCCAGGAGCCGGATTCGATCCCTTTTGTTCACCGCTGTGCCTCAGGGCCTAGAACAGTGCCTGGCACAAAGTAGCCCTTCAGTAACTATTTGTGGGACGGGGGCATGAATACTCACAAGCCTGTTGACTTTTTTTTTTTTTTTTTTTTTTTAAGTTTATGGAGAGTGGGGGGAGGGGTAGAGAGAGAGGGAAAGAGAGAGAGAATCCCAAGCAGGCTCTGTGTCTGACGGCGACTGACTCTTGATTTCTGCTCGGGTCACCATCTTGGGGCTCCTGGGTTCCGCACGACAGTGTGGAGCCCGCTCCGGATTCTCTCTCTCTCTCCCTCTTCCCCCACTCTCACTATCTCTTACAATAAAATAAGATAAGATAAGATAAAATAAAATAAAATAAAATAATAAAATAAAACTGAAAAAAAAAATAGAATTACCAGAGGAGCCAGCATTTCTACTCCTGTGTACGTACCCCCGAAGAACTGAAAGCAGGGTCTTGAAGAAGTATTTGTAACGCTTCATAGCAGTGTTATTCGCCACATCTGGAAGATGAAATCACACCAGTGTCCATCAGTAGAGGACTGGGTGAAGAAAATGTGGTATATTTTCTCACAGTCCGTGAGTTCGAGGCCCGCTTCAGGCTCTGTGCTGACAGCCTGGAGCCTGCTTCAGATTCTGGGTCTCCCTCTCTCTCTGCCCCTCCCCCGCTCATGCTCTGTCTCTCTGCATCTCTCAAAAATGAATAAAGGTTAAAGAAATTAATCTAAAAACAAAAAGGATACGTGAAATATTCCATTTCAAAAGTAACAACGCCAAGACCCATCAATAATAGCGAACATTCACAGTGCTTCCTATTTTCCAGCACTGTCCCAAATTCATTAGACATTTGTACTAATTACCTATTGCTGCATAACAAATCATTCCCCAACACCTGGTGGCTTCAAACAAACATTTATCAGCTAACATCGTCTCTGCTGGTCAGGAATCTGGCAATGGCTTGGCTGGGTGGTTATGACTCCAGGTGTCTCATGAAGTTCCAGTCAGCATGCTGGCCAGAGCTATAGTCATCTGAAGGTCTAACCGGGGTTGGAAGATCTGCTTCCAACACGGATCACGCACGTGGTGTTGGCTGCTGGCAAGAGGCTTTAGTTCTTCCCCACATGGGTCTCTCCAATGGCTGCTTCTCTGCCATCACGACATGGTGGTGGCCGACCTCCCCATCGGAGCCATCCGAGAGAAAGAGCAAGGAGGAAGACTCGACGCCTTTTATGACCTAGTCTCGGAAGTCACACAGCAACACTTCTGCCATATTCTATTGGCTATGAGGAAGTTTTGAGTGAAGCTCAGACTCAAGGGGAGAGGAACTGGTTTCCACGTAATTGAAAGAAGGTATATCGGGGCACCTGGTGGCTCAGTCGATTAAGTGCCCAACTCTTGATTTTGGCCTAGGTCATGATCCCAGGGTCTTGGGATCAAGCCCCGTGTGGGACTCCATGCTGGGCATGGAGCCTGCTTAGGATTCTCTCTCCCTCTCTCTCTGACCCTCCCCGCCCCCATGCTTGCTCATTCTCTCTCTCTCAAAAAATTAGTTATTAAAAAATAAATTTAAAAAATAAAAGAAAATTAAAAAAGAAAGAAGGCACATCCCAGAATCTGTGGCTACGGGTGCCTGACTGGCTCATCCTGAGGAGCATGTGAGTCTTGATCTCAGGGTCGTGACTTCAAGCCCCACAGTCAGGCATAGAGCTTACTAAAAATTAAAAAAATAAAAATAAATAAATAAATAAATAGAATTAATTGTGGGCATATTTTATTTTTTAAGTTTTTAAACTTATGTATTTTGAGAGTGAGTGAGCACGTACAAGTAAGAGAGAGAATACCAAGCAGGCTCCACACTTAGCACAGAGCTGGGCTTGGGGCTGGATCCCCCAACTGTGAGATCATGACCTGAGCCGAAATCACGACTCGGTCACTTAACTGACTGAGCCACCTGGGGGCTCCAGTGTGAGCATATTTTAAAACAACCTCATATATTAACTCATCAAGTCCTGACAACAGTCCAACAAGATGGGGCCTATCATTCATCCTCACATTACAGAAAAGAAAAGCAAGATACAGAGAGGCTAGAAGTCACACAGAAGGTGAAGAGCTGAGACTTACATCTAGGTAGTTGACCTGGGTACCATTTTCTTAATCACTAATATCAACCAGTAGGGAGAAAACCAGTAAAAAAAAAAAAAAAAAAAAAAAAAAAAAAAAAAAAAAAA